CGTGCGGCAGCACAGGCAAGATTTCCCCCCACAGTACGAACTGGATGAACTTGCGTTGCAGATGGGTTTGAGGTTGTTCGCCTACCCCCTACCATTGTCAATACAATCCCATAGAGCTAATTTGGGCTCAAGTGAATGGGGAGGTAGCGCAAAATAACACGTCTTTTAAAATAAAGGATGTCAGGAACCTTCTTGAAAATGTCATGAACCATGTAACGTAACAGTAGAAGACTGGAAGCAATGCGTAATTCATGCTGAAAATATCCAGTAAGAAGATTTTTATAAAGAAGGACTGCGTGACGAAATTATGGAACCATTCATTATAAATCTGCAGGATGACACTGACTCTGGTGGGCCAAGCGAAAATGATGGTGAACATCTACTTTCCAGTTATGAGAGTGAATGATGTAATGGAACGTTTCCAGTACTTTTTTAACGTTCACATTACATCTAACTTTTGTTAAATTTACATCATTGTGTTCATTTTGTAGTTTAATATATGTTTTATAAATAAAATTATATTTGTGTATTTTTACGAGTTTTGTTTTCCATTTGGTGTGTACTCAGGCATATTGGGCTTTTAGGCCTACTATTAGGGATTTGAAATATTTATACAATTAGTAAACAATGAAAAAATGCAAAAACTTAAATATAGCTGTTTCATACAAATGGTTTAATTTTTGTGTATCTTTAAACATAACTCGTTCATTCAAATAGTATGATCAATTTGTTATGTTAGTTTATCCTCAGTAAAAGAAAATTTTAGCAAATAATGTATGGTATAATAAAACAAGTTTAATGAAATGACTCCGTTGTTCATCATGAGTAGGTCTACTCTGATGTACACTGATTATTCAGACATAAAGAGGATAACACAATGGTTTTCATCCTGATCTGACTTTAGGGCTTCGCTAGAGACCTTGACAAAGTTCCCATTGTCGACGGTATTAAAATAATAACTAAATAAGAAGTGAAGAATCGCTTTAGAATTGTGAAACCAGTTCACCACGATATTAACTAATTTAATAATGTATAGTTACATTACCTGAACTGAAATTGTATTTAAAACAATCCATCAAAAGCATAAAGCATAGATGTTAGCCCAAGATTATCTATATTACAACAAAACTTCTAGTGAAATTAAAATTAATACGTAGATTATTTATGTTAAAATAAATCTTCTTGTTTTATTATGTGTGTAGTTCAATCATAATAAACAAATGCTTCCTAAAAACCTGTCTGCAATATAAAACAGATGATTGTTACGGGTATTTTAGTGTAGAAAAGGGTAAATGAGAGGGAGATTTACCATAACAGGGAAATCATATCTTGAATTCCAACCGCACAATTATTTTAAGACAGACTTTAGTTCGGATTAAAGAGGTTCTACTGTATTGTGTTTATTTCATGTATACTTATATAACAAAACACAAAAAAGGAAAATTAATTTTTATTTTTTTCTATAATTTTTTCTTGTCCTATGTCACGATTTCGCCCGTCCGGGAAGGGTTAAAATAAACATAAATGAATTGGAATATATTTTGCCTCAGTTAGGGAATTTTAAGTACAAGTCCTTAGGGAAAGAGTTTAAATACTTGCACTATATTTTTTAAGGGAAGTTTTACAGGAATATTAGAAGGTAAACGTTTACAAGACATGTCATTTGATAAAAATTAAAAAAATACATTTACAAAAAAAAAAACAGTGTCATAATGTTATTTAATTTAATTCTTGAAAGGAATCTTTAGACTTAATAATAACTTTGTATCATCCATTTGGGGCAACAGAAGGCAGATAAGGTTACAGATATTAAGGAAGACAAAAATAGTATTCAAGATAATGCTTAGGTCTTCATCAAAGTACCGTAGGGGGAAAACATAAGTTATATAAGTCAGCTGATTGTTTTTCATTTGCTCTAAATTAGAGCTTAGGAAACAATTATTTTCTTTGATATAAGCTGTTATTTAAAATGACAACTTTTGAACGGAATGATGAAATAGTTATTTGTGTAACTAGTGGTGAAAGTGGCACTTTGCTGCACACGAGAGCAATGTTTACGCACGAGCCGCAGGCGAGTGTGGAATGATCTCGAGTGCAGCAAAGGCCTTTTTCACTCGTGTTACACATTATATTTTTCCTACAGTCACTATAAAGCATATAAATAATTAGTCTTTCAAACACTATGCAACACGTTTTTAGGTTCAGCTGGCAACACAAATGGTGCCCTAGAGAAAGTAGTACCCGCGGTCCATATCACTCCGCTATTTTTCCTCGGCAAGAAATGTGCTCCGCGTATTGAGAATATAGTTCCGTATGTTTTTGTAATTTGAAGTGGTTTTCGCGCCTAAAAGAAATGCTTAAAAGGTATATTCTTGTTTATTAAGATCGTAGGAAGGTTTTAAAAACGTTTAAAAGAAAAGTCCAGAAAGTCCAGAAATACCGAAACTATAAACATGAAATGACAGGTTAAATCGTAGTTACAATAGTCAATCAGCTGCTCATAGTATAATTATCTTTAAGTGTTGCCAACCTATTTCCAAGCGTACACGGATTACGTGCATAATGGAACCACGCTGTTTTGTGTTGTTTCGTTGGAATCCTGATGTGCGGCAAAGTATAAACCGTACGGCAAAGTATAAATATGCAGCAATTAGCAGCTTTCTGTACTATAAACAGTACAAGGAAGCCAAATTTGTCGGGTGACTGTAGGAAAATTTAATTTTTTAAATACCGTATTTCACTGTCAATTAAGTTAACAGACGATTAAATTCATAAAATAAAACAAAACACAGTCTAATGGTCACAGAAGGAATAAGGAAGAAGAATGGAGGTGAAAACAAAATACATTCACCACCTCTTTTTTATAACAAAATTAATTTTCTTACTCCTACTTCCATTACCATTATTAATCAAATCTTGAAACCTAATGTCAGGACTTAATCTTGAGAGCTATTATTAGTGCTAGTAATATAACTATTCTATTTAGATTTTTTATTACTGAAAGATAAAATAAATGGGGAAGAAATTATAATAAATAAAACTTTGATTATACTTAGATCTTGAAAATATGATGAATCCGTATACAGTTTTCATTAAATCTAATTGCTAAGAACGTTGTCCAGTTTTTACAAGCAATAAAAATGGGATATCAAATAATTTTAGTTTTAAATACAAAATTATTACACACAAAAATTGTAAATGAATAGTTTACTAAACCATTGGAGTAACACAGTGTAAATTTCTAAAACCTATGTTTGTGTACAAAACACAAATAAATACATCAAGGGTAATGCATATTATGTACATTGGATTAGTTTATGTACATATTCAATATAGTTAACTTATATGAAAATTGAATACAATAATTTAATAATAAATTAAACCTTTATTTGTGAAAAAAATGATTGTCTTCCGACAAAATAAAGGCTTCCAACCTCTGTTGGCGGGAATATTACAAAATGATTTAACATTTAGGCTTACTGTTGACACTATCACATCAGGGATGTTTTACTGGTCATGGTAAGGTAAACTGAATGTGCAATTTGTACATGAAATATCTTAAACTGAATGTTTGAAGTTACGTTAAAACATGATGAATTCCATCAACTGTGTAAAAATAAAAAAATAACAAAAATTAAATCTAATTGTGTTTTACATTTTTTATTTTTAAAATTAAGTTAAAATAATACAGAAAACAAAATAATAAACTTAATATTAGGGCTTTTAAATATGATAACAGTATGGATAGGTTTTGTGCTGGGCAAAATGTACATTAAGAGAATATACATAATACAAAATTAATAGTAAGAAATCTCTGTACTAATAATCAATACACCTGATGGTTTTAAAGTTTGTGCCTAACTTGCAGAGCTATATATGTATAAATATATACATATACATATATGTGTGTGTGTGTGTCTGTATATGTATATTTATATATTATATTATCAAAGTCTTAAGCTTAAATTTCTATGTGTCATTTCTAATTTTTGAAATTTACTGACAAGCAAGCCGATATATACAGTTATTGATATGATAAAGGTACTATATGATCCAAGGCAATAACCCGATCTGTTGTAATCTCACTACCTGACTACATCGCAATGCCTGATATGGTATCTTTGCGATCAAGCTCTGTTATCATACCTTATTCTTACAAATTCTTTTGATATGCAATAAATAGTATCTAGAAAAAACAACCTAATACACTCCTTATTGTTTGCGTTTCAAATGTTTCATCACAGAAGAATCCATTTATTTAAATTATGTACGAGCATTGCAGACAATCACAATTTTAACTACAGTATTACAAATTAAATTGAGAAGAATATAAATGGCAATACATAGCTTGATACAGGATGTGATTTCTGGAGTCACAGCTACTGGTATATAAGAAATGAAAATATTTACTACAGATTGTACCGGATCATTGTATTTAATCATAGTGGTGCTCAGCAATTTGTAAAATGAAAGAAAATAATGATTATTTTAGTAAAATCTTTAAGTCACTAATTCCTACTCGATTAAATAGATACCTATTTAATATTTCACAGGAAAATTTTATATTTGCTACAAAGTGAACTAGAACGAAAGTGGCATAAAGAAAAAACAAAATATAAAAACTGTGTTCTGAATTGTTTGGTCAAACAATTCACCCAATGTTTAAATATTAATAAATTGCCATGTAATACAAGATTTTCATAATTTTAGCAAAGATTGAAGCATAACAAAATACTCAGGTTTTGTCTTTTAACATGCTGGTACTCTAGATATTATTGAGTGTCTGTTTTATTTTGTATTTTGGCCATTCAAACAACTCCCCTGTAAAATATAATTTTTTTATCACAATTTTATTTACAATCTGTTTAGCTTTTTGAACATTTAGCAAATATGAGAACAATTAATAAAAAAACCCTAGTTAGTCCATCCATCAACAGACTAACTTAAAAATATTGAAGAAAAAAAGAAATAATAATTAAATTATTTAAACAAATCGTGAGCTGAGGTCTAAAACATAAATTAAATTAAATTAAATTAAATTCATTAAAATTAAAATTTAAAAGCTTAAAACTATTTTTAAATTCAAAGTACTGTAGAGGGAAATAGAAATATTACAGTCTGATTCAAAAGTATCATTTCCCTTCATGTATGTTAGGTACAACTACACCAAACCTAAACTATGAAATTAAAGCTTTTTACAACAAGGGGATTGTAAAAAAAGACAATTAAGAAATAAAACCTAACCTATAAGGAATGACTAAAAATAAGTAAATAATATATGTATATACCAGTAGATGTGGAGTAGCAAAACTACAAGAAGTGGAATTACAGCGCTATTTTCATTAAAACTATAAATTGTCATCATCAACAATGAAAACGCCAACAGAGTCTCTATGAAAATTGAACATAAGTATATATTTCAAAACAACAACAATAATTTAATTATAAAGTTTATAACTTGATACATTCTACCCGTAAACCGAGACTAAACAGTGCCCAGAACCAACCATCACAACAACTTTGACATGATTTTGCTCCTTGTTCTACATAAATCTTTTATTGTCATTGATGAAGTAGGATAGAATTCTCAAGAAGCAAAATTCTGACAGAGGTTGAATTTGAATTTTTTTAGACGGATACAGAATTGGATATTAAAAAGTTACCTATCGTATCATTTAAACAACCGTATTCATTCTTCTATCCATCAATTTTTGTACAAAATTAATTAATTTAAAATGTGTCTGTTTCTGTATATTTTTTGGAGAATTCATGGTTGATATTAGGATATGAGATGTGAAATGAGTCGGTAACTTATTATTTTCTTAGATTAAAATGTCTGAGTAAATAAATTTCTTAAAAAAATAATGATAGCAAATATAATAAAACAATGCTGACTACAGTAAAATCTCAGTTCGCAGATAGCCTAGTTAGGTACACACCGAGGTTAAAAAATAGCTGTTTCTCTAAGCTAGAATATTATTTATATTTATGTAATATATTTGAACAATATTTGATCTATGGGGGTAATATAAAAGAAGTAAAACACTACAAGTAGCTACTGAATAGCATACACAAGGGACAGGAGAAAAATATACAAAATATAAAAGAGGTTGTTATTGAATTTTGTTATTATGAATTTATAAATAAAACATAAAATGAGAACAATTTAGTCAATTTTATCAAAGTATTATATGTTAACGCAATTCCAATCAGTAGGAAAAAGTTGTATATGGTAAAGATACACTTTTAGATCTCTGAGAGAAGCATAATGTTTTATGAAAGATTAATAATTGGAAACTTTTGACTATTTGGTGGTTCAATTATGTTGACACCTCAATAAAAGTTGAAAAATTTTAATTGTTGTACAATTTAAATTCAGCATTCAAAGAAATTATTCAAACATGGAACACTTTAACAGTTTTTTTCTAATTTTAAATGTTATGTTACATTGATGACACTCAAAATAATTTTTAAAAACTTTTTAGCCAAGGCTGTTCCCTTGTAATACTGTTTCTATTTATTTAAATGCATTTTGTGTTTATATAGAAAACCACACTATTTACACAGACTCAACCATCTATTAGCGAGGGCGGTTTTTTAAGTAAGAACCAGTTTCGCAAATGAATCCGTACTTCGGTTGTACACCGCAACGAGGCACATCACCATTTACTGGCATCATTTGTGAACAGAACTACAGAAGCTGTCAGGTACGCTTTGCTTTAAGTTTTTAAAATTGCTTAACACGTTCACTGCGGGCCATCAAATGACAGGCGTAGCCTCAGCGCGGCGCAGCCCGCAGCGTCGAACAAACCCGATTGCCGGGTGTTTGGCTCTCATATTATGGTATGACGAATAGCAAATAACGTGCGGTGATGTCCTGTTTTATAACCAGAATCGACGTAGTTCGCTAAACACTCACATATAGCAGCACTGCTTGGAACGTAGCCGGTCTCATCGTATTGCCAATTGGAGGGAGAAAGACGGGACAACAAGTTGATTTTTAAGTTTGCCAGACAGGGATTTTATGGGGAAATTTTACTACCAACCTACAACACAACAAAAAGCAAGTCACCCACTACACGCTAACGTGGAATTGGTCTGCCTTCGACCGACGCTAGAGCAAAAACGATGATATACGAAAGGCATTGCCGAGCGTATCCGATCGGTTACAGCAGCGTCTGAACAGCGCTCGGCCTGTATCCGATACGCCCGCAGTGAACGTGTTAAACAATCAAATCTTCCGCCGCGTCCGAGGTAAGGTTAGTAATACTTATTTGATTACAAGAAACATCCATATTGGGTACCCACTAAAACACAATTCCTTACAAAAAGAGCATTTTCACGGCCATTTTTAAACTCCTAGCTTATTTCAGCTCTTTCTACACTATCCTTGCATCAGGGTCATAATCTCTAACCACCTGGTGATAAATGTTGGCATTGGATATGTTTCTTGTAATGAAAAAGTGTATAACTGATCTTACTTCAGACGCGGAGGGAGATTAGATTGCTAAGAAACTTTAAAAAACACACAGCAAAGCGTACATGACAGCTACAGAGCTGAAATTTGTATCATTTTATTCACAAATGATGCCATCAAATGGTGAAGCCTCGTTGCGGTGTATAACTGAAGTACGGATTCATATGCGAAACCGGTTCTTACTTAAAAAACCGCCATCGTATAACAATATACGAGACATATTTGGTTTATAACAGAGAAAGGTTGTTATTATACTGCAATATGTGTTTGGTATACTAGGGTCAAATTTCAACAGTAAAGCATAGCTACTCTGCATGTTGGTAAGCAATCCCAAAACAACCATAAGCGTTGACAAATTAATGCTATTCAATAACAACAACTTACACCTCGAATATTAGACAATTTTAATTGGGAGATTGACAGAAAATTATCTTTTACTAAAGCTTGAACATGGCAAAATTAAATTGAAACCAATAGTAAAAACTGACTATTGATTAACTATTTAAAGCTAGAATGGAGGTAACCAGCCTCGGAAAGTAATGTTATGTGATGGATTGTTTCATAGCGATAAACTTTAACAGTTTTGCTAAAATATAAAGATCAAAGCACATTGTATCGTAACAACAGCAAAGAGTTGAAGTTGGTAGCAGTAGCGTTGTAACATAATAGAGTAGCATTCGCCTCATTATACACCCACAAAGCTACACTCTTACATGTATAAATACTAAGTTGGTCTAATTAATCCACTTTGTATCAGGAAAGAGGTTTAGATAAATTATTGCCACACAAAAAATGCATTTTATGGAAGATCCGAAAGCCATAGATAAAAAATAGAAAGGCATTTAGACGATGTAGCGACAGAATTCATTTTCCCAACCCGAATTTCATGAAAATTAGTTCCTTGCCTTTAGAGAGAATGTGGTCAACAGAATTATCACCACCCGTGACATTTCCTGTCATCTCAGTGAGCTTCTGCATGAGGTTAGGCATCCCGGGCTGAGGTTCCTGGGCGGGCGGAGGTGCTACAGGTGGGGGCTTGTCAGGTGCGGGTAAGGTAGGTGCAGGTGGGGCCTTGTACTTGGACTGTGAGGCCATTCTCGTAGTTTCCTGCTGCTGCTGCTGTTGTTGTTGTTGCTGCTGCATTCTACCATCCTGCATCATATAAAAACTCATTATATTTGTTACTCAATCAGTTCCTCTTTGTAACCACATATAATTTGTTGACAAACGCAATCCTTTTCTCTAATTATTACAGTAATTCAGACACTGTAACAAGGAAGAAATTCAGTAAAATACTAAAATTTGAAAAAAATCTGTTCCCATACTAAGCATCATCATTTTGGGCGTTGCGGGTATGGTTTTGCATCACAGAGCAAAACCTTATCATATCATTTCTTGAGTTAAACAAATTCTCTAAAAAAAAAACACCTTGTTTGTTTGGGTTTCTTCCCCCTGTCTGTCTATAAAAATAAAAATCTGTCATATTAAAATCATAGCTCAATGTCATGAACATTAGAGTAGAAAATATCAACAAAATCATAAGATAAAAAATAGTTAATTTCTAATAATTAAAATTGGTATTTTAAAAGTTAAGGTATGGTTTAAATTGATGTTCAAAAGCCAATATCTTAGGACACTTATCAGTCCTGTGTACTCAATAAATAGCCTCTCCGCATATCTTTCTGAATTGCATCATTAGTGGAAGTTATTTGTGCCAAAAGTTACAGAATTAAACCTACTATAAACTTTTTAATAATCCTCTTAAAAACAAAAGATTTTTTTAAGTGCAGTATTGTACTTATATTTGTTGGTCTGAGATATTTGTGTTAAGTGGTTTTGGAGACTTACATGCATTATAATTACTGATTAAACTATCTAGTCATAGTGAACTACAAATTTATTCTTTGAATCCCTAAAAAAGAGAAAAATTACAGACATTATGTCCGACCCAAAAAACTATTTAATCGTTGACTTGACGACTATGCAATTTAACCTCACTTTATTTGATAGAGGAGTAGCAACGTGAAATATTAAACACACTTTAAAACTGTTTTTAATTTTTTGCTGATATTGATTGGGAACAGAATTTGACTTGTTTTAAGCATGGTAAAAATATGATAACCAAAATATTCACCACATCTAAGATTATTTAAAAAAGATCTTTTCAAAAAAAGTACTGCTTTAAAATGAGCATGCTTTTCAACTGAACTCTAATTCTTCTACCAAGTTTGTATATGATAAAAGCTGAAAATGTGTCAATATTTACATACAATGGGATTTAAACATGCACATCCCATGCTTATAACAAAGGAGCAGTAAAGCAACTAATATATTCAAACAAATTTTATACTGTATAAATCAACAGAAATATTTACAAGTATGTCAATCTTTTCAATTAATAGTGAGTTGAATCATAAAAAAGGAACATGATTGGATTGAAAATATACTCTGATTCACTTAAACTCTTAATCTGCTAAACACATTTTTAAACTTTAATGATATCAAGGAAACAACAATAAAAATGGATTGTGACTATTGTTTAGTTGGTCAATCTAACCAATTGGCATAAACAATTTGCAAACTCATGTGAAACACATTAAACTACAATCAAAATAAATGAACTCTATGTCTTCAGATGTATAGTTAATAAAAAAAATATGTTTGTAGGATTTAGTCAAAATAAATGTGTCATTAGGCGAAAAATGAGTAAACAAATTGAATTACTTTTTTTAATGCTGTTTAACAATAACCTTTGGTTTCAGTTACATAGGTTACTCAAATTATAACTGGATCTTTCACATTTTTATCCTCCACCACTATTACATTAACTTAACAATCATTCAACGCTTTTCAATAAATTTATCTTTGCTTGAAACATTTACAGACTTTTAACAATATTATACTTTTTTTATTTCTGTGACAGCCTATTTTATTACAGTATTATGTTACCTTTTAATTTGGCTGTTGCCTTTTCTTCTTGATGTTGCTAATCAAAGTCACTAAATTTCACCTAATTGCATTTGTGACTAGGACGACAACTTCAAGAACAAAAGGCTACTAGGACGACAACTTCAAGAACAAAAGGCTAAAACCAAATAAAAAAGTAACTTAATTATTATAAGTTCTTGAAACTGGGTAACCGTGAAGAGTCTACTTTTGTTTTTTTCACTTGGCAATGAGCGTGATATACCCTTGGCAGGTAGTAGGCTACAGTTATTGTGATCCAAAAAATTATGAACATTGATGGCAATACCGGTGCTTAGAATTAAACTTATTCAACTAGGATAAGTCCGGTTAATTTGGCAAGAGTAAATTATTAATATATTTAACTTAACAGAATGAGTCGTCAGGTAAAATGTGGCATCAATTATATGGAAAGAGCCAAATTTTTCATTTCCCTCCTATTGAAAATATATATATACAAAATGTAGAAATTGTGACATGTTAAGTAATGCAAAATCGATGTATATACTTGCATAAAATTTGAAAACATGGAATTAAAACTTAAGACGTGGATTGTAGCGAATTAAGGGAGAAAAAAATCTGAGTTCCAGAGTAAAAATTCAGAAAAATTAAGTCATGGCATTAGACATAACTCAAGATCAGGTGATCACTTTTATTCCTCTCAAGCTGAAAAGTTTATGACCAGCAATTTTTAATCCTATCACAAGTTCAAAATTATATGGAAACATGCATAGAATGTTTAACAAGATGATAAAGGGATCATAATTCATACTGAAATTACAATGTGGTCAAGTATTAGTTCCTCTCTGTTTCTCACTCCGAAACCTTGCCACATATCCATCACTGTTCAACATTGATCAAAACAACTACATTTATCTTAGCATGGAAGACAAAGGATATTGTAAACTAGAAGTGTAAGGCTTCTTCAAACAGAATGCATGGTAGCCAAATAACAGCCTTTTATAAGATGGTTATTGCTTGGAAATAAGATTTTTCTAATCGTCATCAAGCTTGCATTTAGAAGACACCAGTTCAAAATGGTATCACCCACACAGACCATGGTGTACTGAGAAATACAAAGATGATTTTTCGTATCTTCCATTCAAAATATAAGACTAAAGCTTTTGATTTAGATGTATAAAAATATAACGGATAATAGAACAGTTATGGATCATTAAAGTTATATCTGATGCTGTATTTAATTTAAAGTTTTAGCTTAAGCAAGGCAAAACAAAATATGATAAAAAAGCAATGTATAGATCAGAGTTTCTTACTTATGAAATCTTCTTTATGGAAACCTGTGAACCAATATGTTTCTTTTAACATTTATGACAACAAATATTCTTTTCTTTTAACCGGTATTTAACGTTTATATTATGTTAAGATAAGATATTTCAGAAGCAAATGGTTCACATGATTTCTTCTCCTTTTTCCCTTTTCCCTTTTCACGCATATTACTATTACAACAGATCTCTGCCAATTACAAAACAAACCAAAAGTATTTTCAAAAATAAATGAAGATTCACAATTTAAATGTTTAATTTTTAAAGGTTTTTTTTTTGCTATATATTAAGCAATCACAAATGTTACACGACTACCTAAAACATGTTCAATATAATTTATAAAAAGCTGTTCTTTTCATGAAATTGTTTACTTCAGTTTTAAATGTAATCTTTACTTATAATACATTTTTATTACATTAACTCCAACCCTGATGCAATTTTACAAAGTGCCTAATTCTTCGGTCTATTTCAGTGATAAACAAAACTATACTATTTATTAGTTTAATGAACAATTTTGTTTGTTTTTATGCTAGCTTAATTCCTTGATTGGGGAAGCTCGCTTGATCAATCGATTGGTTCTTACTATCAATTTCTTCATCCATTTGCAAATCATTGTTCAGTTAAATTAAATCAGTTTTAACTCTAAACAAAAAAAAATGTACAAGAAAAATTATCTTTACACGATAAATACAATACATTACACACGGATAAACCTTATATACAAAAGTCTTTAGAAAAACATTTTGACATGAAACCACAAAATTTGTTATTTCTGAAAACAACCCTACATGATGGACCTCAGTAATTATTAGTATGTACAAAAAGCTATATGTTGAAAATAACAAAATATATTTCAATCATAAATTATAATATTAAAAAATGTTTGCCACACTCAGTCATCAGCTGCTTTTTGTACTTTTTTTTTTTTAACAGAAAGTGATTGATTACAGAAAGGGACTGGTACAGCCAGCTGGAGTACAGTAAATTTACCAGTCAGTGTTGCAATAGGCTATACAACAAAACAATAAGGCTGTCAACCTCTGCACGCTATAGACTCGCCCACCGCAGTATTTAGTGTGATCATTTACAAATCAATTTATAGCAGAATGAAAGCATTACGACAGAGAATATTGAGAATTATACATTAAATAATTAATTGTTATCTCAAAAGAAATGAGCTAAAATCTTGTGCCTGATAAATCAAAAAACATATATGAGTAAGAGTCTTCCATGTTTTAAAAGTTGTGAAATAATATAAATATTATTAAGGTTAATCAGTGGTTTGGTCATCCTGTAATCCAGCTACTAGGAGGTCACGAATTGTGGATATTTATAGGCATGCACTGTGGATGCGATACTCCCTGGTGTGTATTAACGTCCGCACAGGTGAGTACTATGACTATCCGCAGTACTATCTTGATAATTAGACCAATTTGTATATACCAAAGGCAAAAATGTGATTCGGATTCCACTATAAACTGTAGGTCCCTTAGTTGCCTTTAGCTGTATGGGCTGTTAATTAACAGCTGTGTCTAAGGAATATGTCGGCCTTAGTCACTAACAAGACTAAAAGACCGCGCCACTCATCCTACACTCATCTCCATTCATACTTGGCTTAAATACCTACTTTGTATGGTCGTCATTTCATTAAAATGTATTAAAGTATGTATGGCTTGCAATCTTACACTGTATTTTTGTTGCGGTTAGTGTGGCAAAAACATCGTACGAGACTAATCCATAAAAGCTTTTACTGTACTGACATGAAATCCCGTGCTCGTACCATAAACACCTACTAACTGGTCTTGTAACTTAGTATATTATTATTTCAATTTTATAATTAATTAATACGGAAAAAATATTCAACAACAACGAACTGAACCAAGATATTTGAATCAAAAATCTTAG